GATTATAACCTGAGAAAAAAAAGGAATAACACGTCATTAGGAGTGTTTTGCTCGATCTCGATGTAATTTTCTAGTTAATCCGCGAGGGTCTGCTCAATAATCTCAAGGAAATACGAACTGTGAATATGATTTACGTCCACAACATTGAAAATGTATCTGTTAAAATAACGACTGTCTTTAAACAGATATACGCGTGTAAGTCCTTGTGATTTTATTATATAAGCACGCGCAAATAAACGTTTCTGCAGCACCCACATAATTCGCGCTGTCGAAAATTGCTTATGTAATTTTATGATTTTGTGAAATAAAATAAAAAAGAAATTACAGAAGAATTGCATTCATAATGATCGGCTATTAAATATATCCTACTTTAATCGCTCACCTAATTACCTTTCGATTTCTTCTTATTTCTCTTCTTATTTTGATGCTCGTTTGAGGGAACTATTTAATTTTCTAAGAACGTTTAAACTGTTCAGACACGTTTTTCAAGTATTACGCACGTTACATAAATTATATATTTCTTCTCTCTCTCTCTCTCTCTCTGTCTGTCTCCACTAAATTTTCGCAAAGAACATTACTCAGTTCTCTAAAGGCTGGTATTTATCGTTATGTGCACGCTTGCATTATCCTTGCATAAAGAACTAACAATGTTACAGGGTTTAAGTTCGCGAATTGTAACGCACTCATCGCTCTGCGTCTAAGTCATTCGTAGATAAACTCTAAACAGTAATTTAAACACTTAAAATGAAGCAATTTAGACTCTTACGATAAATGTACCACCTCCATCCTCCCTAAACTGGCTGATCGAAGTACTCGATCTCTAAGGTATTGAATCCGACAGTCCTGATTCACATTAGAGATATCTCGAGTTGTCACTTGATTCAATTTAAGTCTATTTAAATCATCGGTGATACAGACGGTTTCAAATGATATAAGTTTATTTTATTAACCAACTCTCCCCGGCTTAAAAAAATTCTAACCGTGTATTGCCAAATGCGATTTCGACTTCGATTTTCTGCCGCAATACGTTACGGATAAGATCTGCGAGAGACGTCGTCGTGCGTGGAGATTTGCAACATCGAGACACAGTTGTCATGAGAAAGTCAACATTGTCGTCTCTGTGGAAGATGTCGCGTCTCCTTATTATAACAAAGAAGCGTTAATTTCTCGCAGGACAGCTGTTTGCGACACACCGTTCATGATGGGCTGCAAACATTCGTTTTTCTCTCTTCGATTAGTCCGAGTTGGAAAATTAACTCCGGCTGAAAGATCTCCACGTATGTTATAAAACGAAAGTCGAAGTAGAAACGGAAAGCGACAGACATCGCGTGAAATAAGAAGTGAAGTATCGCGTGCTTAAGGGAATCTCGATTACTTCGGACAGACGATCGAAGGAAACACTGCATTATGAGGCACCCTCGTCTCTCGTCCGCTTCCTCCATTATTACGATATGAAAAAAGCAACTGGCATTTTCGATGCCGCAAGTGGCGTATCCCACTTACTTGACACACATTACGTTTTTATCAAACGTTACCTACCTCCGCGAAATTACACGGCGTCGACGTCACCGTGTAATTTTTTTCAAGGAGAGGTGCAAGGTCGAGATACGTTCGTTTTATGAGATGCCGATGACCGCTCGGTTTTCCGTACTTGCGTGCAAAAGCGTGCTGTCGTCGGTGAGACGTTAGAGAAGTCGTTATTTTCGTTTTTTCGAATTTTATTTATATTTGCTGAAACTTGAAATACGAATCCACTCTCTTTGTGTTAAATTTCTGAATTGGCGCCAGACACGACGCGGTTATTTTTTGTGAATATACCGCAAACGCGAGCGAATACTCGTTGCGACCTTGACACAGAATGTCGGTCAATAACTTCCGAAAAATTTCGCAAGATTTACAAGATAAAGCGAGGAGTGATTCATCTGAGTCGTCATACACGGTTTTTCTTTCCGTTAATCGAGCATTCAGTATGTGTCAAATTTCTGAGTAGTGATCCTTTTCAAAAGCTAAAAAAAGTTTCTGGTTAAAAATAAACGTATACCAAAAAAACTCTAAATACATAAATCAAAAGTCTGATTATCTTAACTAGAACTATAATAGATTCAATCAGAAAATTCTCTAATTTGTTTATTTTCAATCAGAATTCTAATTAATGAAACCTTATTTTTTTTTAGTGTAGATTTATTAAAGTCTCAATAATATTCCCATATAAATTTTAATTATTGTTATTAAAATAAACTTAGTATTTATTCCTTTTTATATGAATAATGTTATTTTGATTTCTTGAAATTAATTAATGTCTCTTCTAATACATTAAATGAGTCTCACAGACCTAACAATTGTGATACAAATTTTGACGTCAGCTTCAAAAAGCTAATTCCATATCAATGCAAAATGTACGAAGTTACGTCAAAAAATCTTTAAAGATTCGTCAAAGATTTAATTATAAATTAACTTCATTTCCGTCAATAATTGTGATTTTTAAATTATTTTAAAGATACAATCGATATTTTAATTGTAAATTTTGGAAGATAAATTTAAATCTGCAAACGTAAGCAAATTAAGTAAAATACAGTCCGACTTCTGTGATGGTAAAAACTCGTATTAAAAGCTTTGACAAGTATACCAGAATTTTTTCAATTTTTATATAATCCAGAACAAAAAATTCGCTCTGTTTCTCAACATCCTCTATTACTGACATAGCAATAAAAAAATAGTACAATTGGCTAAATTAATTTAGTTCGTCTCTATTTCTTTCGACGAAGAGTATACATCAATACCGTAGGTATGTATTACGTATTTGAGTCAAACATATTACCTACATTAAACTTAAATACATACATTTTCCAACAAAAGAAATAAAGACAAACTAAATTACTTCAGTCAAACAATTTTTTTCTCAGTGCAGAAGATTTAAAATTGCCAGCGGAGGGTTAATTTTCTGTCGTTTATTAAAGTTTAATGAATGTTTGCCGTGCAAACTGATCGTTCGTTAGCTGTCGGATGGCATCTTTGCAAATAAACACCGTCGATGCGGAAACGTCGTCGAGTCGTTTCAGGTGTAAAACACGCCGGCCAATTTGACGGAGCGCCGCACCTGACGTTACAACGACTACGACTCGATATGGTTCGTTAAGTCGATGTCGCGGTGTTGGAGCGCATTACACCGGGATTGTTGAACGCTGTAAGAGCGACGTTACAGCCGCGCGAGAGGAAGCAAGGAATCATCTCGCGGCTTCGCTAGCCGCTCAAGTGTACTCGGACGGCCGTAAAACCGTAAGAAAAGATACCACGGCGAATGAAATCGTAATCGCCGTCCGTCCAGCCCCTCGAACGTGAGTTTGCACCTCGGATCTTCCGAGAGCAAACAACTCTCGCGGTAATAAATTTCCCTCCGCGTTTTCCTCTCACATCCTGCTATTATCAAGTTCTGACGAACGTTGCTACGATACTAATTTTTTATTTAGCGTCGAATTGTCGATGACGTTAAATAAAGCGGCGCTTATACGTGCGTATAATTTAAGGAGATTCTAATCTCGATGTCTCTCTAATAGCGAATTCGATCACTTATAAATTAGTAAATGTAAGTTAAATATAAAAACATATGAATATTATAAATATTTATTATATGTATATTTTATTATCAATCTAAAAACGAAAAATGCAAATCATCAACATTCACTTCAAAATTAATTTCGGAGTAAATCTGGAATCAGTAAATTAGTATACTTAAAAATTATATATGGATAAAAATATATATTGAAATATAATACTTCTACTACTTAGAAAGATTATATATATATCGATATACAAAATATTATCTATGGATAAGGTGATATTGATAGATTCGCTTAAAAAAATTTTGAGCCAAATCAATAAATAAATTTTTCTCACATCACGATTCCTAGAAAGTGAAATACCCAATAACAATTATCATATTATTTACAATAACCTACATGTTTTATTACACTGTCAAAATTAATTATGCCTTTTCATTTAAAATTATAGAGAAAGAAGTCTTTAGTATAATACACTACAGCGTGAGCGACGGAATTTACCATAAGATAAAATAACGTGAAATATTTCAAGCTGGTCTTCCTTTAGGTAGTTTGCAATTTATTTATTATTAATCGAATCGAGTTACAGAAACATACCCGTATACTTATATTGTCCGCGTTCGTTCATTAATCAATAGTTGACCAACAAAAAACAGGCGCAGTTAATTGAAATGTGATGGCATATGTCGCATACACGAAGCACGCCGCGTTTCGATCGAAGCCACAAGCTTACAATTAATTATTCAAGCGGAGCGCGATTCAAGCCAGCAAACGAGTTTCACAATCTGGGATTGTATTTTCGAAAAATATCGCATACGAAAATGTACGAAAATGCTATACGCTGCATACATTACCGATTTCCCTACTGCTTTCGTACGCAATATTTATCGAGAATAAGGTATCAAATCGAAATAATGAAATGCCAAACGTTCACGTTATATTTTTATAAATTCACTGAAAAAAATACTAATAATAAATACTTGTTTTCGAGTTGGTTTTAAGTAAATCCTAAATAATATTTACTAAATGTATTCTCTAAATTCTTTGAAGTGGAATTTCACTCTAAAGAGTGAAAACTGAGTCTTGGAAAAGAGTAGCTGAATTTCCAATCCTTAAGAGGGAATTTTTACTCTTCAGAATGACAATTCGCTTAAAAAATTTTAGAGAGTAAACATATATCTAATTGATACAAAGACCATTGATTTGTTTTAACTATCATTTTCTTATTAAGTAAATACACTGTAAAAAATAAAATGTTAATTTCAACATTTTTGCATGTCTCGGAAAATATCCACTCAACGTCTTTAAGTTAAAATTAACATTTTATTTTTTTACACAGTGTATTGATTTACTCACAGTATTACTATATTCAAAGAAATATGTATTAAGATTTAGTATATTTTTTCAGAGTGTCTCGCGCATTGTTTACGAATGTTTTAATACCTGACGCGATGCCGACGTTGGCTGCAATAGAAGTACTGATGGCAGATCGTTGGATCGTGGCTCATCCTCATCGCATGTCACGTTAACGTTACTACGTTAATAATCGTCGTTCTTTACATTAACGTCATCCGCCAAAATCGATCCTGCTGTTCTAATCTCGCTTTCCTGGTTCTTTTACTCCTTTTCTTTCACGATGCAAAACAAGGAGATGTAATTTCCTCGAGCTGAATTCGTTCTTCTCCTTTCCCTCACTCGCGCGAATCGTACGATCTTCAGGTGAAATAGTTCTGATTTCCAAGGTACCGCAAGCCACCGCTCGATTAATTTCAAGTAACAAGTTCCGCCTTGGAATAAAAGATCATTAATTATTCTCGCTACTCCTTGCCGGAGGGTTTACCACGAAGAACAGATTTCTTCGTTCTTCAAACGTGGCCGAGATCTATATCCGATTACGGCGTATCTTCAACTTAGTTCTTAAATCTCAAACGAATAGAATTCGTCCTCGGGATAAACGTATATCAATTATCTTATTCCCGTTCGAATGTTTCGCGGTCCAGCGAGGTCACTGAATAAAGGCTCTCCTAATTCCTCTTCCTCCCCTCTGCCGTATTCTCCACGTTTGGCACGTCGCTTTCTCCCCTCGTTATAAAGGGAATTGTAATGTTCGAGGAAAACCGCGCGCGAAGTATACACTCCACGACGATCGGCTCAAGGTTCCACGACGGCTGCTTTAACGAGCTGCGAAACAATCGAATTTCGAAACGGTCCGTTTCCGCGGCGCCGCGCCGGTTCTCTTCTCTCCGCCGCTATACCCTTTTATCCGGCAGCGTGTCGGAAGCGTGAAGTCACGCGCTTGGTTCTTTATTTCGCTCACGCGCCCATACCTCCTTCGCTTCTTTCTTTTCCCGCGTGACACACAATCGTGTCGTACACCCGCGACCGGGACACCCGTTATTTTTCACGTCGCGCGTTTTTGCCGCGGCGAACAATGCCCAGGATTACTTAATCCCGGTTTAGCGATTTGCAGTTTCTCCTGAGAGAGAGAGAGACTACGGTCTTAAACCGTAATCGCAGATGATTATCGCGCGAGCTCACCTCTTGACACGCGGAGACTTTGCCCTTCTGTACCTTTCAGACGCTCACGAGTCACCGAAGATAGTTATTTTTAGTTTCCCTTTCATTTTATACACGTCTGATGGTATCTTAAATAAGGAATCTTAATTGCTTGAGTTTAAAAAAAAAAAAAACATTCTTCTTTTTCCACCTAATCAATTCGCTAAGTATTTCATGTTGATTTCGTTACTCCGAGATGAGGGTGAAGATGAATGAACAGTAAACGTGTAATGTTGGTGTGACATTGAATAAAATTAATTTTTTTCATCCAATCAATTCACCAAGTAATTTTCATATTGATTTCGTTACTCCGAGGATAAATCACGATAGAATGATAGCAAAACTCCAATGTTAGACACATTGATACATTGAATAAAATTAATGCTAATCTTGTATTGCTGGAAACTTTAATATGCCGCCAAAGGTCTTGCTAATTTTGCCAAAATTAGTTGTACGAGAAGGAACTATTTGTCGCGTTGAAGAAATCCGGTAGATTTCTGCTCGTTCACTACGATCTTTCTTCGTTTCTTGTTTGTCTTTTCCTCTTCCGTTCAACGCACGAGCAATTTACGACAAGTATCGGGCTACCTTTACTTATAGTCCGGAAAAGTTTCGATCCTCTCGATCTTCCGGCTTCGCCACTCGCGGTCACTTCTCCGCGAGTTTACTTGCGACGCAAACTTTGCCGGCTAATCGATACGCGGATGTGCTATACACACCGCAATGCGGTCACGTCGGACACACGTCGAATTGCAAAATCATCTACGAAAGTGGAGAACAAGAGACTCTCGGAGCCGCGAAAACCTGCCTCCGCAATCCGATCTGACGTTTATTCGGCGGATATCTCTCGTCGAGAAACGAAGAGGCACGCCGGATCGAGTCGTACGTCATCGCCGATAAACGGAGTTCGCATGTGCGGCTCAAAGTTGTAATCTGGTGAACGTCAGCAAAAATACTCGACAATAGAAACAGACAGCTGCCTCTTTTATTTCTTTCGGAAAAATAAGATTCTCGATGACGCGGACGAATCAGTCGTGTCCTCATCACTTGGTGTATGACTAATTGTTTTTCTGTGATATAGCGAGTTCACGCGATTGCTAGAGATCTCTTTGCATATACTGACGGTTTTTTTTTTTTATCCGCGTGTTTTCCCCGAATCGTCTTTTTTCTCTTCAGTTCGGAGGATTATAGTCTGAACAGCGTGTTTCACTGTCCACCTAGCGCGTTATTTATTTATTTCGTTGTAAACGACAAAAGCCGTTTCGACGCGAAAGCTAATCCCGGTTACGCTTTATACACGAGTCCACGGGTTGCAATTATTCCCACTGATGTTCTCGCGTTGGCGACGAGCACTTAACTGACGCTCTCGCGCGACAGTATTGCGATCATCCTTAATTCACTGTCATTCTATTCGTCGGCATCCCGATCGAAGCGCAGTCGCGCAGGTGCATTTTACCCTTGCAAGTGGTGGGCTCTTCTTCCCCTCTTCGAAGGAAGGATCTTCTACGGTTCCTTAATAATTATTGGCAAGACAACGACGACTCTCGTCCGTTTCTCACATCGCAAGCGGCGAGAATGGCACGATGGATTTTTAGCAATTAATTATTGCGAACTCGCGAGAAAATCATCTTAATCGATCGTTTATCGGAATTACTTTTCACTGCTTTTCACTGTCATTTTCTTTCAGAGGCGAACGAGAGCGAGACTAACCACTCAGTCTACCCTCGAGTAAGGGAAAGAGGCGTTTTCATTCTTGGCGTGCACTTCGACAGGGTTCCAATCTTCTCGATGACTTCGCGAGATCCAGATCTACATCCAGAAAAATATCGCATTTTACTCTCAAAAAATTTTTTTTTTTAATAAAATCTCACTCTAAAAAATAAAAATTGAACCAGTCTTGAAGTAAAGTAGCTCAATTGTCGATCGTTAAAAGTGAGACTTCATTCTAAGACTTTTAGATTCACTCTAAAAGTCTTAGAGAGTACTGGAGACTAAGAATATATTGCTAATTAGAGATTAGAATTCGACTAGGCAGATAATTTTTATCTTAATCCGCTTTTCGTTCCAACTGGCTGAATTCTAAACTTTAATTCGCAATTCTCCATCCGTAATGCGTGCTCTCTAAATTCTTCGGAGTGGAATCTCACTCTTAAAGATTAAAAACCGAGCTACTCGCTTTCAAGAATGACTCAATCTTTACTCTTTACAGAGTCGATTTCATTCGGAATGACAATTGGCTCGAAAAATTTCGGAGAGTAATGTGACGTGGAATTAAGTCTCATATCGGCTCACAGATGATGAATCTCGACGTCCTCGCGAGATCAGCGTCGCGGGTCCACGTCCAGAAAAGTGTCGCACGACTATCGTAAGCCTCGTACCGGCTCGTGGCGAACGACGAACTGTCAACGACGAGCCGCTACGCGCGCACGGCACCGCTTCACTGCGCGCACCGGAAAACACGATGGGTCTTCGTCCGCCGCGGCTGACTACGTTACGTGCGCGAGCGAGGGAGCCTTGAAGGTGGTCGTGTAAGTGTTCGTACCTGACGGAGTAGCGTGCAACTGCTGGAGGCACAACGCGAACGGGCCGGTCAAACTCTCGCGCCGAATAACTGTATCCCGGACCCGGACGAGTGTTTCGCATGATAGGTATACATACACACGCATGTGCTTCGCGTGCTAACATGCACGTGTGCGTGTATATACGACTTAAGGCGATCAACTCCTCACGAAGGAAAACAAGGACATTTCAAAAAGTTCAATTTATCCTACTCAAATTTTTAGATAAATATTCTTTCAAACGCGTGAAATATAATACAGTAATATAATAACATTTATTATTATATTTGTATTTTTAAATTATCCTTTTCGACTGAGTGTATTTTATAAATAAAAAGATATCTCTGGGTTTTTGAATAAAAAATTATAAAATTCTTGACACACAGCTAGTTGAAAATTACATTTCGCACTTATATATTATTTTCACATATCGAAAAAGGCAATTCACAATCATGTCCTTAATTTGAAACAAAAAGTGGGACAAAGAGTCAAAATTTGGGACAGCCCCTTCTAGTTTTGAATAGTTAATTATCTTACATGTAGACGCGAGAGCGGGAGCGATCAACCGGCACACAATTCGCAACAGGTATTAACGATGCGGTATATAATTACGAGACTACTTGATTGCTTTGAGTCTTGCAAAAAAGATACTAAAAGGTTAATGACTTGCAAGATTGGTAATTAGCTGGTATCAAAGTGTTCTAGCTCCTGTCGAGTCTACTAGCGTCTACTGTTGTTCTAAAAAGGTAAGCACCGCACGAGTAACGACAATATATCGACACTTGGCATCGTAACGAGTACTCAAATTAATTTTAATGTCACACTTAACGTCTCTCGCTGCAAATAAACGCACGCAAGCATTAATACATGTAGTCGAACAGAACTACATTACTTTTCTATTTAAAAAAGTACGCCGACCAATCAGGAAGTAGACATCGATCCTTTTTACTTGACTTTTTGCGAAGAATCATCTTGTAGCCAACTGCATCATATTTCAATGGGCATCCTCTGATAAATATGCATCTGACATGTGCTTGACGGTTTAATAAATCGTCCTCACTTGTAGTATAAATACAACTTTGATATAACTCGTACCAAGAGGTTTTATAAGCTATGCACTAAAAACGTAAAAATAAAAATTATGTAGCTAGAATGGCACGCGGAATTCAAGCAATCTTTTTTTTTTTTAACACAATTTATTAGCATACACATATAAATTATTCATAAAGAATATCATATAAATTATAAGATATCAAAACGCCGAGGTAATATCCTTCTATTTTGGACAATCTCATTCGCTACATCTTTTATGAAATGCCTTGGGAACCGTGTAAAACATTCAGCAAAGTATATATACAGAGTGGCCCACGTACATGACAAGCCAATAACTTGAA